GCATCTTGTACAGCAATTAAGCACTAGGAAGAATGTATGCAATGTGTTAATTATTGAAATTGTCCTACCAATTTGGTTTGAAAAAAAGAAAAGAAAAGAAAAGAAAAAAAAAATTTCTGTGTAAAATTATACAAATCTGGCCAGTTAGCATTCTACAGAGATTCAAAGGTTAGAATATCCATGTTTGTTAGAAAATAATGGTTCTATTTTAAGTTCCAAGGTGCTTGATATTCAGATAAAATAGTAATATTAAGCTCATTGCCCTCATTAAAAATGTTATGCTATTAACTTTCTCTTCTGGATGTCCAAAAACTGAGGTATGGAGACAAAAAGTAGAAAGATAGGCTAAGAGAACAGCCAATATTTTGGCCCCAGCCCTCAGGGGTCAGTGAGGACCAGGACAGAAGTTTTTCAGTGACATCCTGCAACTCTGGTGAGTTATACAAATTCCTGATGAAAGAGATTGTAGTAGGACAGAGGATAAGGATCTATGGCATACAGTGTGCCTAAGGAGAACCACCAGGAGACAAAGGTCTATTAAGCTTTTATGGAAAGCAACTTGGTTAAACAATGACCATGACTCATCCAGATGGACACTGACTGAATAACTAAAGGTGCTACATATGGTTTCAAGATAAGTCCCAAGGAGACTAAACTGATTGTAATACATAGCAAAAATTGATTAATACAGGTCTTGCCTTAATTTGGTCTTGAACATCCTGCAGAAAAGTATAATGACAAAGGTTATAAAAAATTGCCTGATCACTGTTCTGGGATAATGCTCTGTATAGGATTAAATTGCTATGTGCAGGGATTAAAAATCTTTGGATTGTGAATCTTTAGCCTAAATCAAGTAAATTCATCTAGAATGAAAAGGGTTCAAAAATAAGAGTCTTGTATAGAATCCTCCAAACACAGCTCCTCCAACTCCAAATGACCACCCATCACTTGTAACTACAAAACAGAAAAGGGAGAGATGTGGGGAGTGGCTGAAGCAGCAGATAGATTATATGTGTAGGTCAGCCTCAAAAACGTAGAGTACCTGAGGCAAGTCACATGGATAAGCCATTAGACAGAGAGGTTTCATGTGACATTCAACCTCCCAAGTGTGTAAATAAATGCACTGCAGCCACTGGGGCGCTCCTTTTCCTCCTTCTTCTTCTCTTTCTCCTCCTCCTGCTTTTTCTTCCTCTTCCTTCTTTCTTTACTTCTTCTCCCATCTGGAGAGAGGGCTGCATCTGGCCTCTGTTTTCTGTATTTTGTCTTGTTTTCTTTTTTCCATTCTCTCACTGTCCTCACCCCAGGAAATATGAGAAGCTGTGTGGAACACGGCACTGTGAGAAATTTATTTCTGTTGTAAAACCCTTGAAGTCTATGGTAGTTTGTTTAAGCAGCTTGAATGGATCAGGCCAGTGGTAATGGCACCCGTGTTGCAATGGGCACGTAGAGCCCTCTTGTCTGCATGTGAACCAAGTTCCCCAGGAGCAAAGCATCAGATCACAGCTGCTGTCTACAAATTAGAACCTCGGTATTCAGGTTTAATTGCAGTGCTGGCACTTTGCAATAAATAAATGAGTTTTGGGCTGTAGTTCAGGCATTCTGTTTCTAAAAGATTTGCCATCACTGTGCTAGTATGAAGAATTAACCACCAGTTGGGCTGGCCAGATAGCTCAGCAGACTAAAGAACCTGCTTAGGCAGGTGCAGGGACCGGGGTTCGATCCCCCAAGTGCTGTGCCCGCCCTGCCCCTGGAGTGCTGAGAGGGCGATTAAGACTGGGCCTGGCGGCGCGTGCCTGTAATTCCAATGCTTGGGATGCTGAAAACAGGAGGATCACTATGAGTCCGATCTGTGTAGTGAGACCCTGCACTAAATAAAATAAATAACAACCACCAGTCAATAAAGGAATGTAACAGATCAGATATTGCAAAGGAACTCAAAGAAAAGCAAGACAAGGATTTCTATCGCACAGCCTGCACTTCTAAGCAGTCACCAGATGAGCTGCCTATTTCTGAGAACACCTAGCTCCATTTAACACCTTCTTTTTTTATTTTATTTTTTTTATTTTATTATTATTATTATTTTTATTTTTCAACAAATAATACACTGCATATATTCTTCTTAGTGGTTAATTGCTGTACAAGATGTGGACTTGTGATCCTATTTACAAACACCATTAGAACAAATCATTCTATTCATTAACAGAATGTAACTATATATCTATCCCAACCACTTTGAATACACAGATACAAAATGGACATTCATCGGTATACCCCATTTTTTCTAAGTTCCGTTATTGAATATTATAGGTGTGTAAACTCAGCAAAATATTCTAAAAGAGTCCAGTAGCCCATAATAGCATTGGGTCTTCTGTTTAACTGGCAATGTCAGAAATTATTGACCTGAGTCCCCCACAGCTCAACTTAACAGCATGGCTTTATTTCTTATAATTTCATCTTCATACTTTTCTGCTGGATGGTTAAGACCAAGGTAAAGCAGGACCTATGCAACAAGAGTTGTAGCTTTTTGGTCTGAGAAGGTCAGTGAAATGCCCTCAGGATTTGTCCTGAGATCCTGTACCTCAGATTGTAGAACCTTTATCAGTGCAGCCATGTGGATGAGTCACGGCCAATGCTTGGCCAATGTGCTCTCTGTGAAAGCCTGAGAGAGTATCTTCTCCCCATGTGACTCTCCCTAGGCCCACTCTATGTCATCGATCACTTTCCTCTTTGGCCCCATAATCTTCTTGATCAGAAAATTTGGGACACTACCAAGGTACATGACGCATTTAACACCTTCTTAAAGGACAGGGAGGCAGGCCTAGAAGGAGGTGCTTGGTCATTAGCCAGGGAGCTGTTCTTCCTTTGACACCAGAGGACAGACTCTGGCCTCCACTTAGGCAATCTTCGGGACCTCTGTTCCTGAGAAGCCAGTCATTGCACAAAACTCCTTATCTTCTTTTGTGGGGGTGGGGGATTTTCAATGGTCCAGCAGTGGCAAGGCCTGGTCATGGAAGCAGACTGAGAGAATGTGCAATCTGCCTAGCTCCAACCTCTCCTGTTAGGGCTGCCTAGAGCCCAGAAAAGAAAGTTGATTAGCTTGCAGATATCAGAAATCATTTAACACCTACTCACTATTTCCCCATTCACCCTTCTTTTTGTACTGGGGATTGAACCTCTGGGCTTTACACAGAGCTACACCCTACATCCCGAGGACTTGCAGTCCTGTGTCAGTTTCTCAGAGTGCTGGGATTATAGGCACAAATCACTACACCTGTCTACGTTCTGTTTTTATTCTGCATACTAGTTTTGAGACATATGGCTAGGTGAAACACCCGTCTGCTTTCTGCTCTTTCCTTGGAGAAGACGCCAAAACTCTAACTTCATGATGAGAAGAATCTCTAAAGCATCCTGCAGTCGTGGGCATGGATAGGATTGTCCCCTGGTGCCTAGAGCTGGTGGTTCCCTGAAGAACTTGTCCAGTGACTAAGAGTGCACACATGCAGGCCTACAGATCCGGTCCCTGAAAGGGTAGTGATTGTAACTGAGCCCCCAGCAAGCGGGGGTTAGCATCCTGCAGCGGGCTGGTGGGCTAAACTCTTGCCAGTGCCCAAGGCCAGTGCCCAGATTTGCTAGAGAGAAGAAGCCGGGATGCGCCAGCCCTTTCTGCTCTGCTGTTGGCAGTGCAGGTCAAGTATCCCTTCCCACTGGATTAGGAAATGGGAAGAAAGAACGGAGTTGTCTGTACTCGGTGCTTCAGCGGTTTTTCCACTGTTTCCCGTGCATCTTTTCTGTGTGTCAGGGAGCAGAGCTCGGACTTACAATTTCACGCTGGACTGGGTCCCTAAACCTAGGGCGCGGCCCAGACAGTCCGCCCCTACGGACACGCCCTAGCCCTGAAGCTGGTTTGTGACGGTCAGAGGCAGAAAAAGAGGGGAGGGGGAGTGAGGACCTGGCAGCAGTGGAAACAGCAGATTGCGCCGAGCCAATGGCTGCAGCAGTCCGAGGTGGCACCAAATTCCTGCTGGCCAATGACGAGCTAGAATTGAGGAAGCTTAATTAGCATTTCCCTGGGGGGTTAGGGGTGGGGGAGCGCGTTGTAGGCGACCAGAGTATCCCCGTCTTGGAGTAGTGTATTAAAAAGCGTTTGATCGTTTCTTTCCCACACTCGTTTCCATGCGTGGCTGCCTCCGCCAGTCAGCTTTGTGGGTTTTTTTTGTCCCTCCTTCTTAATCAACAGAAGGGACCTAAGAAAATACAGGTTACAATTGCGTCACTGCTAGCTAGCTGTAGCAGCCTTAAAAACCCAGCCGTGGGACCTCCACCGGCCGCGGTTTCAGGCTCAGTCTTCCATCGCGAGGGGAAGGCGCGCGGGCTCTGTGCGCACGAAGCCGGCCACCCGCAGGGCCGAGAGCCTGAGTCCACTCCGTGGTCTCGGCCCAGAGAACTGAGTTTCCGCCTCTGAAAGCCAAGATGCCGGCTCACATGCTGCAGGAGGTGAGTTTCCCGGGATGCCCGCGTCTGCGCGCTAGCGAACTGATTGGCTTCTAGGTGACCGCTTGGTAGAGTAGAGAGCTCTAGGAAGACTTGGTCGTTTCTCGAGTTGCTCTGCTTTTAGTTATGTTACTGACGCGGGCATTTGATTTCCCAAATTCTGTTCCTTAAATGTTCTTAAATTTGTAAAGAAGAATGCGGTCGTGCAGGTATCTATCTATGTGTATACCGGTCAGGTTCTTTTGTGTGTTGCTAGAGGTGCCGGTGCCTTTACTTTCTCTCCTGCCTCTTCACAGTGTGTCTCACTCCCAATCGGCACAGTTTTTTGGAAACGACCCCTCACACTCCCACCCCCAGTTTCACATTGGGGTACACTCCATCCTCACATGACCTCGGTGCCTGCACTGCCCCTTGCACCGGCTGCAGGACTGAGCAAAGGGCCCCGGACTCCCCTCTGACTCCTCTCCTTGCAGATCTCCAGCTCCTACACGACCACCACCACCATCACAGCGCCTCCCTCTGGCGGCCTGCAGAATGGCGGCGAGAAGGTGGCGAAAATGCCCCTGTACTCAGAGGAAGACATCCGTCCTGAAATGAAAGATGACATTCGCGACCCCAACTATGAGGACGAGGAGGGCCCTGCTCCCAAGCTGGAGTATGTCTGGAGAAACATCATCCTCATGGCTCTGCTGCACGTGGGAGCCCTGTATGGGGTGACACTGCTTCCCACCTGCAAGTTCTATACCTGGCTGTGGGGTAAGCAGGTTCTCTACTTCTGGTTAGTGCCCCAGGGTGCTCCTGTCTGTTAAGAGATGGGGACTTACATCTGGCCCCTCTCTGTCCACAGTTCCCAGCCGTCTCTGGTGGCCCAGGAGGCCCAGAAGGCTGACTGCACTGGGGATAGGGCCCACTGTGGTTGAGATGCAGGAGTGTCACTGGGGTAGTTTCTTCAGATGTGTGTTGGGAATGACATGTGAGCCCTTTTGCAGGGACTTTGAGGGGAAGAGCAGGGATGGAGAGGCAGCTACCCTGAATGAGCTTCACTGTTCAAGTTATTAGACTGGCTGCCCGGACCAGCTCTGCCTGCCACAAGACAGTTAAGACCCCTGTGGGAGGCATGGGCTCCTGATACTAAACCATGGGCTTCATGAGCTATGTGTTGAGCCCATTCATAAGACAGTAAGGAGAAACTGCTCAGGATCAGGGATCATTGAAGAGGGTGTAACACAAAGGGGCTTACCCACAAAAATAAACCAGTCTAGTTTGACATGGAAGGAGATAAGGACAGCTCCTATATAACCTAATTGTATAGATGTTTTGCTCTTTTGCTCTAGGTGTGTCACCAGAGTATGGCACATGGAAGTCAAGCAAATGTTCTTAGACTCTGAGTGCAGGAATGTTGTACCTTCAGTTCCCCACCCAGCCTACTCTAGCCCTTCTCTCTTGGGCCCTGGCTTGCCAACATCTCAGGATCTACTAACACCAGTCCTTACTACACTTATCCATCCCTCCATGGCAGGGACAGCCAAGCCAGAGCGAAGAGCTCTATGCAGCTCAAACTGTCAGGCTGCTCTAGTGAGGAGACAGTTGCCACTTTTCCCTGACCTGTGCTTAGCTAAACTCTTCGAGTTCTGAGAGCAGAGACTGTGTCCTAGATCCAATCATGTGCTTTTCATGCATGCATCTATTCAGTGATATATGTAACAGGGAACATCATAGAGCTAGGCATGTTATTTCTGCTTTCTCAGGAGTGGTGAGTAAGGACTCCCTCTTTAGGGGACAACCAGAGGTTTTCTGGAACAATCTCAAGTGGCTATTTCCTGGCACCTGTGTTGGGGGAGGGTGGTATAGAAGGGCTGGTTGGCCAGGAATGAACTGCTTCCTCTACATCTCTTGGGTCTAAAAGGTGGTAAGATCTGATCCCTCAAACTTTGCTCTGGAACTTCTCAGGGAGCTACATGGAAGTGAAACTGAAAGATCCTCTTTCTCAGGAACATAGTTCTTCCTGGTAATGAGTGAGGACAACTGTAATTTGTCAAGATTAGGTTAATTCCTTAGGTTAGTTATCTGTTATCCAAGGCTCCTCATTTTTCTTATCTCTAGAGGCTTCTGTCTCATTGTGTAGAATCTCTAAGGGCCTTGAAGAATGTAAATTGAAGAGTACAGCAGTGCTGAAGGTCAAAGGGCAAAACACCTCCTTAGGGCACAGTATTAAACATTGATATGGAGATTAACAATCATGGGAGAGTGAGAACTGATGTAACTGCCTGCAGCTTCCTACTTCACAGACTCAGAGGGGTGAACAGAACGCAGGAGTGCCTGAGTTTTTATCCTAACCATCCTCAAAAATGTGGATATGTTTTGGGAGCCAACAGTCTAGGATAATTGTGGTATTAAACAAACTTGGGACTTTCCTTGGTCTTCAGCTGAGTGCTTCTGCTTTGCTTGAAGCTTGTTCTTCATCCTGGCCACTTCAGGGTTCTCACTCCACTGGGTTTTACAGGCAGAGGTGTGGTCAGACACTATATCAGTGAAAGCCTTCATCACTACATGGCTAATGGCCACTTTAGGGTATGTGCCAGCTTCCCATGAACAGATGCTGCTTCTCTAGGCCTTCTGGGGATCATGTAGGAGAAACAAGACAGAGTGTAGGAGGGAAGAGGGGAAGAGAATGCTGTTTGGTAAGGGGTTGTCTTTGGCTACAGAAAACCACAGGACAGTTTTGTTAAAATGTGTGGTGTCTCCAGACATAACTAAGATCTGAGAATCTATAGTTCTCAGATGCCTGCTAGGAATGACACATTAACAGTTACTAATAAGGCCTCAGTTCTTGCTTCTCAGAGCTGGTGATCAAAGGAAGAAGTAGGGGTACGCTCAGAACCCCTTTCTCCATTGGCAACCTTATGAGCCTGCAGGCCTAGAAGATGGTGAGGTGGGACATTTCAGGGCTCTGCCAGCTCTGAGGATCTCCCAGCATTATGTAGAATTAGCATTGACAACCAGAGTCTGGGTTGACATTGAGTTGTCTCCGTGGAAAACCTGGGGACCGGGCACGGGTCATGTGAGGTAGATGGCAAAGCTGGAACAGGAACTTGGTGCTTGAAAACCCGAGCTGTGGTTTTTGCTAGTCATGTGAGTTTGGATAAACACTTAACCTTTCTGAGAATACATTTTGTCAGCTGCAGTGTGTGGGGCACTCACCCCTGGTCTCATCAAGTTGTGCAGCGAATATGGAAATGTGTTACTGTTGAAGCTTAAGCCAGTGTGCAAGGCTCACATTCCCTAATTTGGCTACACACCCCAGGGCAATGTTTAAATGCTTTTTTTTTTTTTGCTAGCTGGTAAATAGACACAGATCTGTACCTGGAAGTGTCCTCCACAACTTAGGGCTCCTCTAATTGTTCAGTGCCCAAATTGCTCTGACTGGTATTTTCAGAACACACATGTTCAAGGGTCCTAAGGTCTCTAGGAGTAATTTGTGGCACTGAACACTTTAGAGAAGGTCAGCTGAAGGTCTTAGAAGACAGGACATGGGATAAAGACCCTACAGCCTGGGACAATAAGTGGCACAGTGATGAGAGCTTGATTTTTCTTCTGCTTGTTTGGCTCTTTTGGTTCAAGTGGTAAAAGATATGAGGCCTCAGAAATGAATTCTTGTTAGCATTCCAGGAAAGCAAACCCTCACTGAAGAAGACAGACTGGCATCAGGAGTGTGTCCTTGATGTGCTTTCCTTGACTGAACTTGGATGCTTGTGACCCTTCACTGTCTTGTCTTGGCAGTAATTGCGTGTTACTTAGTGAGTGGACTGGGCATCACTGCAGGAGCTCATCGCCTGTGGAGCCACCGAACTTACAAAGCACGGCTGCCCCTGAGGATCTTCCTGATCATCGCCAACACGATGGCGTTCCAGGTGAGAGGATGGCACTGCTTGGCTTTCCTGTCGTAACCCTACTGGTGATCCAGGGAGGAATGGATGGGGCCATTCAGAAGGAGTCCTAGCAGGAAGGCCACTGCCCTTTCCATTCTCCTTGGTCACAGCAGTACAGGGCCAGTGGTAAGGTCTACTAGCAGGGAGTACTTCAGATTCACTAGGAGAGCACAAACATAAATGGGACAGAGTCTTCTAATGTGGGGTCATTTTTGATCCCAAGTTCCCTATAAAAGTTTATCTGTTTCTCTCATCCTGCCCCTTGACTCACAAGGATAGTATCAGTGTGATACCATACAGTATCACACTGTATACAGCGTGACTGTTGTGATTTTTCACCATGAGGGACTGTGGTGTTAAGCCATGGTTTCCTGGACAGTCGATGGCATTAAAATCATACTTTTTGGGGACTTCCTTAGGCTATGGCAGCAAGATAGAAGATAATATGTTATAGATGCGTGGCCTCTGTCTGCTGTTAGATAATAAAATCAAATACATAGAACTATGTGCCGGGAATAGATGAATTCATTAAGTCCTATTTTTATAGATGAGAAATTGGGTCTCTGAGGAGTTGGGTAGAAAACTTTGTGATCTTGTCTGATGTTGCCATGCTTGCTAACTCAGGGCCAAGATTGGGTCAGACAGCATATTTGTGGTACAGAATGAGAATAACTGAGAAAGTGATTCTCCTAACTGTTAGACTCTAGAAGTGGCACAGAATATCTTGTGCTGTGAGGCTTAGCTTGCGCAAGAGGAAAACAGGAAACAAAATAAATTCACTTGTCTTTATAAGATCTGAGGTACTTACCTCCTTTGTATAATCATCTCTGCTCTAGCAAGTCAAACCTTGAGATTCCTGATACTAACCTTGTGAGTCAAGGGGCAGGATGAGAGAAACAGATAAACTTTTAAAGGGATGGGAATGTCCCAAGAAAGCTCAGAAATCCTCTGAAAACATGGTCTTGGATCATGAGTTCATGAGGCCCTGTAACTGAGTTGGCTGAGCTGTAATTTGGGAAGATATCAGGATAGAGTTCCCCATTGCTTTATCCACAGAGCAGTACCCCAGAACCTGAGGTGCTTGCCTCCTGTTCTCTGTGCTCAAATATTAGGCACACCCATGAGGAGCTTGTCTGCTATTCCTTGCTTGAAGAATTGCAATGCTCTTTCCTAATGAAATTATCATTATGCTGGATTTACCTCTGTTCTCCCCACACATAGCCTTCAGGATGCAGCGTGCTACTTCTGTGTTCCGGGTCTATTAAGATCTTTTCCACATAAGCTCTGGGACAAGTATATAAAAGAGCGGAATTCTTCTATATCTCATTTGGAGCAGACATCTGAGGTCTTTGTAAGGGTTGGGTAGAGCCCTGAGCCCATGCAGACATCAGGGCACTGAACTGGCCCAGATGGTCATCTCTGCTCAGACCTGTGTCCCTTTGCTCTGTCCTCCAGAACGATGTGTATGAATGGGCCCGAGACCATCGTGCTCACCACAAGTTTTCAGAAACACACGCTGACCCTCACAACTCCCGACGTGGCTTTTTCTTTTCTCATGTGGGCTGGCTGCTTGTGCGCAAACACCCAGCCGTCATAGAGAAGGGGAGGTTGCTCGACATGTCCGATCTAAAAGCTGAGAAACTGGTGATGTTCCAGAGGAGGTGAGTGGAGGCAGGATGGGGTGGGGATGTGGTTGTGAACACTGGGGGTTAAAAGACCCAGTCTTTTCTCTTATGATGTGTAAAATAAAAGTTAAATACTTTGCATGGTCAAATCATCATTTAAAATTCCAATTTTAATAAATCACAGATTCATAGACATTAATTAACCCTTTCTGTGAATTATTTTAGTGAAATCAGTTACTTGCAAATGGATGTTTGTTGACTTTGAACAATCGGGGACCCTAAGATGAATGCAGCTGAGTCTTGCTTTCAAGGATTAGGGAACCTCATGGGCGGGGGAGAGATAGGCCAAATGCCCAAGTGGTCACGATTCAAGGCAGAACAGGCTTTGTAGCTGATAGGGTTAAGGAGGAGGGAGCTTGCTCAGTGGGGAACTCTAGGGAAGGATTATGAACAATCTACCTATGATTGAGTTTTATGGTTTTGCTGAATAAGGATACCACAAACAGAAAGAAAAACATGAGCTAAATCCTGAAGCAGGTTTCAGAAACACAGTACTTCCACTGAAGTATAGGGGTGATAGGAAAAAGTACTTGTACAGTAACTGAAGAGGTCGTGGAGCCTGGCCACAGACTACCACATGGTTTATTTGGCTACAGGTAGCCACCGAAGTTTTCTTCAGAAGCAGTCTGCATAGTGCCAGATGAGTTGCAGGACAGAGAAAGAAGTAAGGAGCCAGAGATGAGAGGCAGGATCACAAAGCAGGGGTTAGGAAGGACCCAGCAGTTGGACACAGGGAATGTGAGGGGCATAAAAGTAGAAATCGAGAGGGTCCAGGGAGATGACTCAGTAGAATAAGCGCTTGCTTGGCAAGCGCAGGGTCCTGAGTTCAATCCCCAGTACCACAAAAAAAAAAAAGAAAAAAAGAAAAAAAAGGGTAGAAATCTTTAGACCTTGGAATGTAAATGGCCTGGTGTAACACCTGCAGGTGGTTGACAACTGCCTTACCTGCTGAGGGGAAAGCAAAGGAAAGGATTAGAGGGTGAGAGCAGGAAGTGTAGACACAATACAACCCCTCAGGCCAGGCATGAAGGCAAGTTAAGAGAGCTGAAGGGTAGATACACACAACAGCCTGGGTGCAGAATTCTGCTGATGAATTTGTGGTTTGACCGTTGGCTGTTTAACTCTCCTGGTGTGTCATGAAAAGGAATGCTGAATTTCAGGTCCAGAGACAGTTGTCCCAATCCTCCTCCACCGTTTCCTAGTAAGGCAGTCCCTAGAAGTCATTTAACACGTCCACTACCTCATGTGTAGAGTAAGATAGTGACACTATGCTCCAAAGGCTTCAACAGAGTTGTGATGCTGGTTTCTGTCCTCTGCACTGAGTGCAGGAGGAGAAATATAGTCCTTTGCCAGTGAGAACAGGAAATGCAGGTAGATATGAGTAGCCTTTCTCCAAACTCAGTGTGATTTCTCAATGTAGGTATTACATACCTGGTCTTCTGTTGCTGTGCTTCACGCTGCCCACACTGGTCCCTTGGTATTATTGGGGTGAAACTTTTGTACACAGCGTGTGTGTTGCCACCTTGCTGAGATATGCCCTAGTGCTCAATGCCACCTGGCTGGTGAACAGTGCTGCCCACCTCTACGGATATCGCCCCTATGACAAGAACATTAACTCTCGCGAGAACATCCTGGTTTCCCTAGGAGCTGTGGGTAAGTCAGCCATCCATAAGGACATCACATCTCATGTCTGTCACTTAGAGTATCTGGCTAGAAGCCATACCACCAGAACAGCCTATTTTTTTGGACCAATTTGTAGCTCAGTTTTTCAGTGTATAACTAAGGAGCAACATATAGGGAAACCTTTATGAGAGGCAGGTACTAACTCTTAGGTAAAATGGAAAGGGTGAAAAATATACTGCTTTTGATTTTAAGTTGTAAAACAACATCTGTTATGCTTCCCTATCGAGCTTTCATTTTCCTAGTTACCTCTGACAGGGCTATAGTCTACTTGAGGTAGAGAATGTGTAAATTCAAAAGTAAGCCTACTGTTTTATAATTAAACCTGCTGTGTAAAATGTAGAGTTATCATTAGTTTTATTTATTTATTTTTATTTATTTATTTATGTGTGTGTGTGGGGGGCAGCTCAGCCCACCAGGGGGCGTTAGCTGGCATGTGGTGCTGGGGGATTGAACTGTGGTCCTTGTGCTTTGCTAAACTTGTTCTAAGTAGGTGCTTTAGACCACTGAGCCATCTCTCCAGCCCCTATCATTAGTTTTAAAAAAGGTGGACATGCCATACTTTTTTTTTTGTTCTGGCAATTCAACCCAGAACATTCAATCTGAGCTACAACTGCAGCCTTTATAATTTTGCTTTTTGTGATACTGGGGATCAAACTCAGGTCCTTGCACTTGCCAGGTAGGCACTTATGCCACTGAGCTATATCCCCAGTCCCTACAATTGCTTTCTTTTTGCTTTATATTTTGAGGCAGGAGCTCACTAAGTTGCCCAGGGTAGGCATGAGCTTATGATCTTCCTGACTCATCCTACCAGAGTGCTAATATTGTACGTATTTACCACCATGCCCAGTATCGTGCCATACAATATTCTGCTTACTGATCTGATATTGACTATTCTTGAATTTTACTTTCTATAATTTCAGCTCTAATTGCCAGATCAAAGAAAACAAGGTTCTACCATCTGTGTTGACTTTTTTCTCCTTCCAGATGAATATAGACTTTGACTAAGGCCTCAAGTGAGCCTTGCTTACACAGACCCAGGGGCCTCTGTCAGCATTGATCAGTATTGTTTTTCATCCAGTGAGACTTAGCCAACTCACTGCTCATAGATTTGTTCATATCATTGTTTAATACTCATTAGCCTGGTATTGTTATTTTTTTCTATTTCTTTTATATTCTATATATCTCTGTCTTCCTTTTAGGCATCTTATACATTGTGTATGTTCATAGTGTGAAATAAATTATATATATTATAAAAATCTGAGATTTGCTAAAAAACGGACTAATTTAGATTCAGATGTGGGTCTTGTGTTGTAAAAAAAAAATAGAGTGAGCTGCCAACCTTTTACTTTGTCGGTCATGTTTCTAAATCTGTTCTTTTCTCTCTTACCTCACCCTTTGGTGTCTGGCTCTGTTTCCTGCCATTCTGATCTCTTTGCTTCTTGAATTATCTGTACCATAATTCTAAGCTTGTCTTATTTTATTTATTTACTTTTGTGTTTTAGGGAAGGGTCTTCAGGGTGTTCAAGGTCTCACTACTAGATCAAACTCCTAGTGATTCTCCTGTTTACAGCCTTCCAAGAACTAGGATTACAGGCGTGTGCCATCACACCCAGTTTTAATCGCTGTCTCAGCACACCCCAGGGGTGGGCCAGCACAGCAGGCCTTGGGGACTGAACCCCTGGCCCTGTGCCTGCTTGCAGGCGCTGAGCTATTTGGCCCACCCTGCTTACTTGTCTTAGATACAGCTGACATTGTCCTAAGCCTTCCTTGGCCTGCCTCTGTACCAGTTGCTACTTGTGACTCTCTTCTTTTGTTTTTAAAGTTTAACACCCATATGTATAGTATAGGCCTCGTAAATGCTCAGAGTCTCTCAGTAAAACCCTGCCTGGAAGCTAATAATCTTCTACCACCACCTCAGCCTTGACATTGTCCGTGCACCAAACCTCTGCCCACCCCTTCTCATTTATTACCAGAAACAAAGTGATGTTCAGAGGGATTTATAACTTGATAACCCTTGATTAGTCATTTCCTTGGCAGGACTTCTTTCCTTCGCATCTCATTTATTTCATTTCTATCTTATCTGAGAGTTTCTTTGTTCATGTGTCCAAAATCTTCTATTGACACTTGTTTTTAGCCTGATCTGATAAGGGCCAGTGACTTTTGTACGTTGGAATAGATTCACAACGGAGAGTCTTGCCAAGCCTTGGCAGATGTTTACCCATTTTGGAAATTGTCCCGATCCAGAATTTCCTTACTGTCCTCTTCAGCAAAGTGAAAGCCTCCCAGAAGTTCTCATAATCTCTGAAGTTAGAGAAAAATCTTTTTTTTCAGAGCAGTTCTATTTTATTAGCACCTCTCTGACCCCAAGGTCAAAAATTAGAAAATTAAAAGGTGGAACAGTTCCCTGTGAAGCAGCAGTACCTGTGGAGACCCTGCCCCTGTGGGGGCCTCCTTGCCTCCGATTTTTGCCATCTGTTGTTTTGGAACCTCCTGTTCTTCCAGGGAGCATCTATACAATGAGGAAAGGTATGCTGCTTACTTCTCTTTGTAATAAGGGGAGCTACCGCTTTGCTTGTACATCCTGCTCGCCCCACCCCAGCCCAACACAGAGGTTTCAGGTTAGTACTTGCTGAAACTCTGGCATTTTTCAGTGTAAGATTCATTCCAAGCAGTACACCTCCTCTCTATTCTTCTTATTCTCTGAGAGTTACTTTCTGTCACAAGGGCTTCCCAGACAGCCTGATGACAAATAAGCAACTTATTGCTAAAAATGTCTTGGGTAGCATCTATTTGCTTTGAGTAGAAGAACTTGGCTTTATGTCAGCAGCAGCAGCAGCAGGTTTCTGTGAGGTTTCTTGACAGGTAACGGAATGCCAAGTTGAGGAAGACTACACATGCACAGCTCTATCATTTCTCTTTGTTTTGTTCCAGGTGAAGGCTTCCACAACTACCACCACTCCTTCCCCTATGACTACTCTGCCAGTGAGTACCGCTGGCATATCAACTTTACCACATTCTTCATCGACTGCATGGCTGCCCTGGGTTTGGCTTATGACCGGAAGAAAGTATCCAAGGCTGCTATCTTGGCTAGGGTTAAAAGAACTGGAGATGGAACCTACAAGAGTGGCTGAATTTTGAGTCATCCAGGTTTTTCTTTTAAAAGTCAGCTGGGTACATGTTTAATGTTGCATTAATTAACTACTGAGTAATGCTTCCTGGGTGGTTTGGTGATGACCTTAACCTACCAATACAGTAGTCTTGTAAAATGCATAACAATTGAAAAGTAATAACTTTATTTTATACTAGTTGATAGAATTTTCTTTTCTCTCTTCAAATCCCAATTTTCTTTTTATTGCTTTGTCTCTTACCTTCCTTTCTTCCTTTACTGCCTCCCATGCAAGCAATTGGTCACCCATAAATTGGTATCCACCTTCCGAAGCCTAGTAACCCTTCTAGAGTCTTAAAAGTAAGACCCTTTGCGCTAGATGACTTTTTCCTTGAAGATAGTTCATGATAGTTGCTTCAAGTTAGACATTTAATGAAATCTGCTGTGAAGTTTCTGTTTGCTGTCATCACCTCATCCACTGCTAGATGAAACTAGAATAACTTTAGGAGGGATCTTGCGAAGTTGGGAAATCATCCTATGAGATAGTTATTATTGCAGGATAAAGGTTGTGAGTTGAGCTGGGAAACCGGGCAAGGATAATCTGCTAGAATCAGTCCAGATTGCTTGTCTAGTGAGACATGGAGCTCCTTCTTACAACTTTCCTTTCAGACTCTGGGTAGGGGATGGTTATGGATCCTGGTGGTGCTAGAATACAACAGCGTATCTCAGTGTCTTCATATAGGACACTGACAACCAAGGAGAAGCATTTACTGAAGTAGTCATAGTAGGAAAAGTGGTTTCTTCTGGGGGAGGATGTTTTTCTTTAATAAAAAAGAGATTTATTATTTCATAGAGTAAGTCTTTAGTTTGGGTATGTCTAGAATTAGTGTGTACAGGAGGTCATAGTTTTGAGGACTCTGAGTTGCTTATCCAGTTCTGTCATCAGTTTTCTTTGCCAGTCACAGGATGTTTGTCACTCCACTTGTAGTAGCAGGATGGACTGTGACATTTTCATACACCTAATCATGGAAAAGTTTTAGGAAGTGTGCTTGGAAGTTATGCATAGACATATAAGATCTTCACTGGAATATGAAACTATTTACATTACTCTCAGAAAACAAATGTTAAAGAAACATGAAGGAGTGGAAGAATTCCTCATCTAGGGTGTCTTTTTTCTGCTGATGCTGGGCAGGAGATGGACAAGTTGAGGGGTAGCACCTATTTATAGCCAATCCTAAAGGTACTTTCCAAAATGGGTGCTATGAGAGCGTGTTGCCAAGGGGATTCAGAAGTGATGGAGCACGCTATTGGGCCTTCTGGTAAAGTGAGTTAGATACTAGATCTTTCATTCCAGTTTCTCCACGGATTGAACAGAAACTATGCTTCTCCCTAAAGTGTCATGACATTTCCCTTAGTTTTTGCTTTGTCACATCCAGCTTACATGCAGGACTGTCTGATAGGGTGGGAATCTTTAGCCACTCTGATTTTGATTCCTGGCTTTACCCCATCTTTCCCTGACCTCTCTACTGGTTCTCTCTGTTCTGTGATGTTTTCTTTTTTTCTCTAGACAGGCAACTTCCTCTGTGTATCCAGGGCAGTGAGAACTTGCTGTCCAGGCAGCTTCCTCTCCTACAATGAAAATGCTAATTGTGTCTGAACTGCCAAGTCCCTTTAGCAATGGCCTGCTATCTCTTTGTGTGGTCTCTAGGTCTTCTACACCTCCACACCTTGGGTCACTGCTACACTGATAGCTTGAGAAGTTTGGCAAATACCCTCTAAAGAAATCTGAGCTGACTTTCATGAGTCACGGGGGAGCCAAATGCACACACTGTGTCCATAAACCAGCTACAGAAACAAGCAAGGTTTATTGTTAGTTGCTCTGTCTGAATCAGAGCAAAGAACGTTACTCAGTGCCCCTTTTGTGTTTTGAAAAGCTATTCAGGCAAATAAGTGCCCAGATGACAGTGCAGTGCTTTTAGGATGATGTCCCTTAGGAAGCACAAGAAGCAGGGGCACGTTTCCAAATGTCTCACATTAAAAAGAGGTTCCAACCCCAAACTAAATGTGGTGTCTTATACCACAGAACCCATAGTAGTCAGTAGGGTAAAATTAAACTGGAAAAATACAGAACATTAGTGATTAGTGTCTTGAGTATGGTAGGTCTCCTTTGTCCCTCTAAGTCAGGCATCAGTGCAGAAGCCCATCTCTGCTGTAACAGGATTGGAAGTGTTCAGTACCAAATCCATGTCTCCTGCATGGCCTCATGGTCAGGGAGCAATGACTTTCTTCCTATCTTCTACAGACAAGTCTGCATGGGTGCAGCCTTATCTTTGAGCTGTTGAGAAAAGAATCTGAGGTCACTGTAGGTGAGACCTGCTTTCCTGGGTGCTTACCCCTTGCAACTGCCTGTTCGATAGTTTTAATTCTACATGTTATCAGAAACTTGCTTTATAATCCATGAGAAAGAAATTCAACTTTCTTTTCTTATTGAATCCTGTTCCATGGCTGATCCATGCCACTTCCCTGTAAAACACTGGGTATTAACCCCAGGCTTAGGACCCTGCAGAACATGTTGGTCCACACATATGGGCTTGTCAGATCAATAAGACACATTATATTCAAGACTAAAGATTAATTCAAGGACACATTAATAAACTCAGATCTGACTAAGAATGAATTTCTAACAGTCCTTGTCTTGTGGGCTGCTGACAACTTATTTGAGTGCCTTACCTCTTTTCTAATCCATGTTGAACACAAGTCTTCCTTCACTGCCTCTGTGAAGTACCTTAATACCTTTAAACCTCCAGTAGTGGCAGATAGAAAAAGTGGCCTGTCTTGAGAATTACAAGTACTTCAATTTGCAAGATTCAGTTATAGGCTTAATTTTGGAAATGATTCTTAGAGCTGTTTTTATTAAGTGCCCACATTGGATGGAGAGGGGAAGTAATTTGGACATACTTGATTTATAGTATTTTTAGATTAAAAGGTGATTGTAAGATTTAAAATGAAAGTTTTGCTCCAAGGTTAGCTATTATCTTGCATATTTTCTTTGTACAGATAGCTGAAGTAGATCAAAATAAAAGGTTAAGAAAGTAGTTGCTATATTATATTGGTGAAGGCCAGGGCCATCTACCAGTGTGCAGCTGGCCTCTGTGTGACTGTCATTTCTATAACAGACCTGTTCTAACAAGAGTGAGTCCACCCTCAAGATGAGGACATTAGGTAATGATGGCAGAGCCCTCTTGACTTACCACTTAATAGTCACAACTCTCAGTGATATTGGATTGCCGATATGGGACACATTATTTAATTATAACGTGTCTCACTATTCTGATTAAATGAGGTAACGATGTTGACCTACCTCAATGGGCAGGTTTCAGGTGTGACTAATGCTTTTAATAAAGTATTTAAAAATCCTCACCAGGGTAATTTTCAAGTCCTCTGTATTTTTATTATAGCAGTGTTCACCTTGGACTTGGCATGTACCTAAGTGCTGGGTGGCATCATTATTGTATACGATTCTCTTGAGAGGTTAATGAGTGCATTTGATGAGTGTTGGATAACTAAACCGACACAATTTGAGAATGGGTATTGTTGCTATGAAAACATGCAGGATACCTTTTCCTTCCTTGGGTGGCATTTTTCCTTTTTTAATGACTATTAGTTATTTGTAACCTAAGAATAATTTTGTAACAATTTCTGTTAATGATCAACTCTGAAGCTATTTCTACTGAATTGAGATGTGCTTGTTCATAATAAAAGTGAATTGAATCTGGCTTTATTGTGTCTGGGAACTTTTTGGTTGTGAACTAGTCTGCCGTGAACTGTCTCTAGGGCCCTCCAACATATCTATGTTCTGCACCTTTAAAAGGAAAAAAAATATAGATAATACAGGATTGATTCATACCTACCCCAGTAACCGGTTCTGTCCTTTTGAAGGGTAACTGATGTTAACTCAGGGAAGCAGGAAGCTAGGGATCTGTTATCTTGTTAATCACCCGATATAGAATCTGGCACCTTACTCTGCAGGAAAGTGTGGTCTTCCCACGAGTCATGTAGCCACATGGACCCTGCTTACGGATCCTGGGTGACCAGGAAACCAGTAAACCAATCCCTGGGGTAAAGGGTGGGAGGTATGGCACCTCCAGCAGGGTAGCAAGACCTCCAGTCTTGCCTTCTGTGGGAACAGGACTGCGTGAGCAGGGGCAGGGAGGTCAGGCGGCCGCCTCCCCAGCAGCACTAGGGCACAGCCCCCACCGCGGCCACTCAGGTGGTCTCATAAACTACGGCCCTGGGCCTTCACCACCTCGGTCCACAAGCTTCTAAAGAGCAAGGCAGCCAGGCAGCAAAGAGGCCGCTCTGCGGAAGCGCGCGGGCCAGGCTCGCCAGACTGCAGGGATGCGCCCGCAGCAGCGGAGGCGCGCGGCCAGAACTTCGCGCTCGTGCCCCGCCCTTCTGCCAGGGCCCCAGGCGCGGCACAGCGGGTGCGCGCAGGGAGTGGCCCAGCGTCTCCCTCTTCCTCCCGCGATTACTGCCGGGCTGTGGGCGGGCTCGGCCGGGGGTTACTTTCGTTCACTCACCCCAAGGCTCCTGACCGCGCGCAGCCAATCAGCAGCGACTCGAAGCCCCGCCTCTGCCGCGCTCGCAGGTCCGCTGGCGGGTGCCTTGCTTTGGCTCTGCGTTGCACTCCAGCCTTTGCCCAATTGGGCCCTGAACGCCAAAGTGCGCGCTGGTGCTCCGCCCAGAGCTCAGGGCCCCGAGTTCGGGTGCTCAGGACCTGGAGCTTGTGTGGATGGAGAGGACTGCCCTTCCCAGGAGAGGCTTCCTCCTCTGTGGGAGGAAACCCGGAGGATGTGGCCTGTTAGCGCCCACCCTTGGGAGCCCGCGTTGTGTGCTGGGTCCAGACCGTCTTCGAGACGGGGTGGTTGAACAGGCAGCCTGGAGGCAGGATGTGATTTTATTTTTCCCCTCATGTAGGCGGCAGAACGCTAAGAGTCAGCAAAATGGCTAAGATTGGGTCCTGGTGGGAAAGAGGGTGTTAGTAAAGTTCCAGAGTCCTGTCACCAGACATCCAGGGGTGTCCGGTGGAGATTTAGGGCTAAAGTGGAAAGAGGCTGTGAGTACTGGAAGGGAGCCTGCAGCTTGCTTCCTACACGAGGAGGGGTCATCAGCTATGTCCAAGCAGGAAGGAAAAATCCCTTGTTTCAGAAAGTTGCACAGGTGGCAAGAGCACAATAGAAGAGGACAGACAAGGGCTTGAAGATAAGATTAAGGCTTTGGCGCAACTCAGGTGTGGCCCCCTGGGACCTCCAGGTGTGAGCTGGTGGTATCCGGAATGAAAAGAGAGGGAAGGTCAAGGGACTTTGAAGCACAATCAGTAACACTCAAAGGACTGGATCTGGGAAATCAGGAAGGAGAATATTCCATGACTAGGACTGACCTGATATTCCAGGTGAGAAATTAGTTCCACAAATTGAAATACGCAGTTAAAAAAAGTAGGTTTGGATGGGATAGGAGTGATGGTACAAAAAAACTGAAAAATGGTTAGTCAAGTCCATTTTTTTGCGTGAAACAGGAGAGAAACATCTCCAGTCAACGCTTGTAGGTCACCACTGAAAAGTCTAAAAACATGCAAATGTTTGTTTTATTTTGTTCAAAGTAACTGTCAATGCTTTTCCATGTGGAATTTAAAGCATATCCCCATTGCTACTTTTAGTCTCAGTTACAGTACAATGACGAGGATGGAGAGAGCTTTCCTGGTGGAAACTCCAGCTGTCCTCCTTACTGGAGGAGCTCAGGACCTGACTGTTGCCGAGAAAGGCTGTGCAGCTCTCACTTCGAGTGTTGCTTCCTGGCTCTAGCGCAGATTCTTCAGCCTACTGGTGCAGATCCTTCATCTCTGGCCCAGCATTGTCATGGGCTGTAGGTCTTCAGCTGGGCTCATGCAGGACATTACCGTGGGATCGAGGCCCTCAGCTGGATTTTTTGGGCTTTTAGTGTGTGGATACATTTTTGTACTCCTTTGTACTTGACTCTTGGCTGGTTACTGTACAATAATCCTATAAATTATGTGTATTAAATTGTTTTCCTTGTAAACCCTGCCTCAATGCCCTCTTAGGGGTACACTGCCTGCCTTTCCAGGCCTTCTGAAATCAGGATGGAAATTTTTTTAACCCCACAACTCTTGCATTCTGCATGCACCTAAAACCAGCACCATGTGGATGGTGTCAAGGTCTGCTGCCAGCTGGAGCAGTAGACAGGCTTTCCTCCCTCTTTGTTGTAGAGGTTCAGTACCTGGACTGCTGGGCATTCTGAATCCAATTCTGAGGAACAAATTTTCTGTGCTGTTGCTATTCTGGAACATGGTGAGGCTGCTACTATCCTGGAACATGGTGCTCTGTGTGTTCTCCTCAAAACAAAGTCTTTCACTTTTGCAGTTTTGAGGCTGCAAAGGATAGAGACTTGCTGCTTCTTGTGAAGCCCTCAGGCTTTTATATTCTGTTTCTTCTGAGCTATTGAGATCTCCTCAGCTCTATCTTTGTAGTCCATAGCTTTATTTTAGAATTTCCCTTCTGGCCAAACTCACAATTTAAATCATCCTGCTGGGCTCTTTGCTCTTGATTCTCAACTAAATCTGGCTGAAAGCCCCCAACAATAGCCATTACACCACTTCAACATTTGACTGCCTTGAAATTTCTTCTGCCAGATTAATTAGGTCAATGAGACATGGTATTGGTATTTTTAAACTTTTATTTTTATTTTTTTAATTTTTTTTTTATTTATTGGTGTGTGTGTGTGTGTGTGCGTGTGTGTGTGTGGCCAGCTCAGTCCACCAGGGGGCAGGGATGGCTGGCATGTGGTGCTGGGGGATTGAACCGCGGTCCCTGTGCTTTGCTAAGCTTGTTCTAAGTAGATGCTTTAGACCACTGAGCCATCTCACCAGCCCCAAAATTTTTTATTTTTATTTATTTTTTTTTTTTGGTGGAACCGGGGATTGAACTCAGGCCCTTGCGCTTGCCAGGGAAGCGCTTATTCCACTGAGCCATCTCCCCGACCGGTATTGGTATTTTTATTGGGAATATATTCAGTCTACATTTAAGTTTTGGTTTTATGGCTATCTGATAATATTGGTTGATTGTCTAGAAATGACATATCTTTCCATTTTTTGACATCCTGTTTAATCTCTTTAAGAGTACTGTCTTTTCATTATAGTGATCTTTCATTTCTTTGATTAGGTTAATTCCCAAATATTTAATTTTTCTTAATGTGATTGTGAATAATATTATTTTCTTAATCAGTTCATTATATACAGGAATGTTATTGATTTTTGTGTATTGATTTTGGTGTTCTGTACATTTCTGACTTTATTTGTTCCAGAAGTCTTTTGGTGAGTGTTTTTCTTTGAGTCTCCTATGTAAAAGATTATGCTATCTGTGAAAAACTAATTTAATTTCTTCCTTCTGTATCCACATTACTTTTTATTTTCACATGCCTGACTACTCTGGCTAAATTTCTTTTTTTCCATGTATTTAGTTCAGGGTCTACAGGGTCTTACTACACAGATTGGACTTGTAGTGATCTACCTGTTTTCAGCCTCCCAAGTGCAGGGATTACAGTCATGTGCCACCATACCCAGTCTCAATCACTGTCTCAGCGTGCCCTGTGGGTGGGGCCAGCATGGCATGCTGGGGATTAAGCCCTGGTCTCTACGTCTGTGTCTGCATAAGCAGGCACTTTAATCTGCTGAGGTATGTGGCTGGCCCACTCTGGCTAAATTTCTGAGTAATAATATTGAACAGGAGTAGTGATCATGTATATTCTTTTTTTTTCTTTCATTCTGATTTTAGAGGAAAAGTTTTCAACTTTTCTCTATTCATATAAAGTTGTCAGCAGGTTTGTCATAAATGACATTGTGTCAGATTGGATTATGTTTCTCTTATATCTATTTTCTTCAGATTTTTTTTTATACCATGAATGGTTGTTGGATTTTGTCAAAAGCTTCTTTTGTATCTGTTGAGATGATCATGTCATTTTTGTTCTTGCTTCTGTTAAAAAGATACATTAATTTATTTGCACATGTTGTACCCTTGGGATGATGCCTCCCTGGTCATAATACAATAATGTTTTCAATTTTTTTGTATTCTGTTTGATAGTACTTTATTGATAATTTCTGTATCTGTGTTCATTAAAGAGATTATCCTGCAGTTTTCTTTTTTAGTTCGATTTTTGTGTAGTTTGCTAGTTTCTAGTAATGAATTGGGAGTGCCCCTTCCCTTTTAATTTCATTAAAAATTTGGAGGAGCACTACGTTAAATCTTTCCTCAAGTTCATGTAAAATTCAGTGGTGAATCCATCAAGCTTGGGCTTTCCTTAGTTGGTAGGTTTCTTCTTCTTTCCTGTTATTTGATTGTTCAGGGTTTGTACATCTTCTCAGTGCACTTTTGGTAATTCATATGGGTCTAGGGATCTACCCATGTCTTTTAGATTCTCCAGTTTATTGGAGTACGGGTTTTCAAAGTAATAACTAATCGTTTTCTGGATTTCACTAGCACCCATTGTGATTTCACCTTATTCATTTCTAATTGAATTGAATAGATCTTTCCTTCTTTTGGTAAGTTTGGCTAAGATTTTGTTTATTGTTTTAAAAAGCCTGTTCTTGCAGTCTCTAATGCTTTGCAGTTTTTTGGTCTCAATTTCATTAATTTCAACTCTGATCCTTATGGATTTCTTCATTTTACTATCTTTGGATTTGTATTCTTGTTTTTCTAGGACCTTA